CCTAGCGCTGCTTTCCACAGATATTCAACTGGCTTTTGCGCACAAGGAGCAATTGGTTTCAGTATTCTTGGACATTAAGGGGGCTTTTGATTCAGTTTCCATTGAAATTCTGTCAGACAATCTGCGTAGATGTGGACTTCCTGGAATTTTTTAATAATTTCTTGTACAGTTTGTTATCAGAAAGCAAATGAACTTTTCTCGTGGACAACTGACAACTTCCAGAATTAGTTACATGGGCTTGCCCCAAAGCTGATGCCTCAGCCTTCTTCTCCATAAATTTTGATGTCAAAGATTTGGGATTCCGGAGTTGTTTGAGATTTGGGCGTATTTGCTTTTGTAAACAAACACGTCAGTTGCCAATTTCTCTTGAATAAAAGCTCAATCTTATGAACAATATATACCAAATGATAGAGGAATCCTTCCTCTACCTGATAGTGTTATTAGTTTTCGAGATTGAGCGAGATCGCGAGAAATCGGCGATTGACTGTAGTACTGTTGGACAGAACAGTGCACGCTAAGACAACTTACAGATGACGGTGTGGTTTCCGTAAGAGGTCCACATGCCGTGGATTTGCAAGGATTATTTCAAAGTTCCTTAGATAACTTGTCTTGTTGGGCTAGGAATCAAGGGAGCGAATTCTCGCCGCAGAAAACTGAACTAGTAGTGTTTACTCGAAAGCGGTACCCAGCCCAAATGCAGCTTAATCTTTTGGGCAGAAACATTACCCAATCATTGTCTTTCGTGTACCTTGGGGTCTGGTTTGATTCAAAGTGCACTTGGAATGCCCATATTACGTATTTGAAGCAAAAATGTCAGCAGAGGATCAACTTTCTCCGTTCAATTTGCGGCACATGGTGGGGTGCTCATCCGGGAGACCTCATAACGCTTTATAAAACAACTATTCTCTCTGTTCTAGAGTACGGCTCTTTCTGCTTTCTCTCGGCAAGAAAAAGTCACCTAATAAAATTGGAACGAATTCAATATCGTTGTTTGCGTATTGCTCTAGGCTGTATGCACTCAACACATAACATGAGTATTGAGGTTCTGACAGGAGTAACACCCCTCCAGAACCGTTTGTGGGAGCTCACTCTCAGAATACTCATCAAATGCGGAGTGACAAACACACTTATAATTGCAAATTTTGAAGAAATTCTTGGGCTGAACACACAATCTCGATTTATGAGAATCTACCATCACTACGGATATGTGTCTTCCTTGTTATACTCCAGACCGTGCTGACCGTCAATCGCAGTTCCTCAATTGAATATGATCTAACCTTGGAACAAGCAACTCACATATTTTACAAACGGGTCCCGTCCCAATGGATCCACTGGCTTCGGTGTCTTCAATGAAAACGTTTTTGTTGCTGAGCTGGCAGCAATTAACTTCGCATTGGGATTGATTACCAACATGCCCGCAGACCATTACTTCATCTTCTCGGATAGTCTCAGTTCGATTGAGGCTACTCGGTCGATGAAACAAGGTAGGCACTCATCTTATTTCCTTACAAAGGTAACGGAGCCGATGAGTGTGCTGGTCGAAAGATCATATATGATTGCCTTTGTATGGGTCCCATTACATTACTCAATCCCAGGCAATGAGAAGGCGGACTCTTATAGAATTTAGAATTTTATGACAGGTAAATTTCACATGATGAATTTTACCATTTAGTGCGTCAGAGTAGCCTTTCGAGTTGGCAAACCGATTGGGACACTGGAAATCTTGGACGGTGGTTACACTCAATTATTCCTAATGTTTCTTCGAGGGCGTGGTTTAAAGGCTTGGGCTTAAGTCGTAACTTCATTCGCGTGATGAGTAGACTTCTGTCCAACCACTACTCGCTAGATGCGCATCTCCATAGAATAATCCTCGTGGACAGCAACACCTGTCGGTGTGGAAACGGTTACGATGACATCGAACACGCAGTTTGGCAATGTCCGGATAATGTCGACGACAGAGAGCGACTTTTGAATACCCTCGAAGCCCACGGAAGACAACCCTATGTTCCTATCAGAGATGTGTTGGCAACCCGCGATCCCTGCTAAAGGGTGTCCACGATGAAATTGCCACACTATGAAATTGCTCTAACTTTTTAACCGTTGGGTAGAATTTAATGAAAATTTGGGTGGATTTAGTTCATAGTGCATTATTTACATCCTGCAAGTTTTAAAGTCCTGTGATCAAAACTCGCGGAAATGGAGTCGAAAGAACAGCTCGTGCGTGATAAAATCTTGCGCATTCATCACGAGAACAAGGATCTCTCGCATCGTTCCATCGCTAAAACGTTGGGAATCGCGAATTCCACGGTGTCGCGAGTGATTAAGCGGTTCGAGGAACAGTTGACCACCGATCGGAAGCCCAGAAGTGAAGGAAAAAGTATTCCGTACAACACCAAAAATCACAACCGCGTAGTTGGGGCCTTCAACCGAAATCCGTACGCCTCCGTTAGGGATGTGGCTAAGAAGCTGCACCTAAGCCGAAGTTTTGTCCAGAAGGCCAAAACTAAGGCTGGGCTTCGAACGTTCAAGGTACAAAAGGCCCCTAATCGCGACGAGAAGCAGAACAAGTCCGCCAAAACCCGTGCCAGGAAGTTGTACCTCAACATGCTGACGAAAGTTGAATGCTGCATCATGGACGACGAAACATATGTGCAGGCCGACTTCAAACAGATCCCCGGCAACCTGTTTTTCACGGCCAAGGATAAGTTCAGCGTTCCGGAGCATGTCCGCACTCAGAAGATGTCCAAATTTGCGTAGAAATTCCTGGTTTGGCAAGCCATCTGCACGTGCGGGAAGCGGAGTGCACCTTTCGTGACCCAGGACACGATGAACGGACAGGTGTACATAAAAGAGTGCCTCCAGAAGCGGCTGCTTCCTCTCCTGAAGGCCCACAACGTCCCAACAATCTTCTGACCGGATTTGGCCTCATGCCACTACTCCAAGGACGTGCTGAAGTGGTATGCGGACAATAAGGTCAATTTCGTGCCGAAAATGTTCAACACTCCGGATCTCCGCCCCATCGAGAAGTACTGGGCGATTATGAAGCAGCACCTTCTTAAACGACCTAAGGCAGTGAAGACAGTCGAGGAACTGAAGAAAGTATGGGTTTACATGCAAAAAACGGTTGATTCACAGGTTGTGCAGAATCTTATGGCCGGGGTTAAGACCAAGGTGCGGGCATTTGCGTATGGACTGTAAATAAAATACGAGTAAAATGGTCAAATGAAGTTTAATAGTTATTTCTCAATCCCTGAAAATTTGATGGCAATCGGATGAAAACTCGAATTTTGCGAATCAATTTTGTGTGTGGCAATTTCATCGTGGACACCCTTTATATGCAGTCGATTTATGTGTTTCTGCAAATGTCTAAAGGGTGTATTCGATAAAAATGGCACACACATATTTACTCACCAAAATTAAACCGATTATCGGATTTTCTTGAAATTTTCAGGGAATGAAAACTTACTAATGAGTTATGATTTACAAAATTTGTTTTATTCAATTTCGTCTCCCATCCCGAATGCCCGCACCTTCCTTTTCACTCCATCCATCAATTTTTTTATAACCGATTTTCTCAGTGTTGCTCAGTGGCGTCCCGTAACCTCACTTTTTACCTGTGCACCAACTTTCAAAACCAGATTTAATGCCATATTCATACTAGAATCGGTTGAAAAATACACTTAATCTTCTAGTTCAATCGATATCTATCCGTTGCAAGCAATATTTTGGTGCAAAGGGTAGATTGAGGTTAAGAAAACGCCGCTGTTAATCATAGAAAATTCAGTGGAATGATGTTTAACCAAATGGATAGTTTCAAGCCCTATTTACATCATGAATACTAATTGAATATTAACAGTAAACTTTTGAATCTTGTGCAAGAAAATTTAAAAAATGTGTTTTGTAATCTAAATTAAACCGTAAAATGAGCGGGATGGTATGGGCGACTTTGTAAACAACGGGTAAGAATATTCTGCTCTCTTGAGACTTTATGAAGGATCAACAATGAACCGTTTTAGCATAAACATATTTAACAGAAACAATTATTTTCTGTAGAATAATTAAATTTCAGAAGTACTGCCTATTTAAGGCTATATTTTTTCAGTCTTGTCAATGACTGTTTTTTTTTTACCAAAGCAGGTGTTTCATAATGTGATTTAATATGATACAGTCACACTTATGAAAGGAATAATGCAAAATTGAAGAATTTAAGTAGAAATATTGGTGGTGCTCATATTGCCTCGAATGGACCTAAGTAACACTTTGTTAAGAAATTTTTTAATGTTGATTAAAATCTAGAAAAATGTCGCCACATAAGAAACCACGACCATCTATAAAACTGCTGAAGGAATATCAATGATAAGTTATAAGAAACTACTGGTAGGCCTTATTTTCTGATTCAGAAATCTTATAACAGTTTCGACATTTTGAGCTAGTTTAACATTTTTCGAATATTTGCTCTACAGAAAAGTATTTTGCCTATTGACTTAAACTAAATGGATAGTTGAAGTAGTATTAATTTAGAAATTAGATTTTTTTTGTAAAATATGTTCAATAAGTTGCTTTTGAAGCCGGTGCCAATATTGCCCCACTTTCCCCTATCCACAAAACTCTAAAACAAGTTCATTGGTGGTCACATCCAGGATCACATTGACCAACACCTGGACATGTTCCTGATGCCACCTGGGAAGTGGCTCAAAGTTGGATTTGGTAAGAAGGGTCAGATCTCACCATAGGTTTTTTTTGTTTAAAGAAAGGCATTGTACAAAATTGCGCCAAATTTGGATCTTTCATATTTTTACCACTTTTAATTGCTTCGATAGCAAATATATACTCATTTCAAACTAATTAAAAGCAAAACCCGCTACCCGCTGCTCACCTCGTTGCAACCAGTTCTGAGAACACTGATAGAAACGGCGAATGACCTGGGGAGGTGAAATTATGAACTGCCGCGTTATCATCTCCCGCAAGCAAATTAAAGCATAATGCAAATTTCGTTCTAGTTGCATTCGATTCCACACAGCCAGTCAGTGAACATCGCAGACAAAAAAAAAAAAAAAAAAAGCAGTGGCTAAACAAAAGAAGAGCGCCGAGGTTTAATTAAATCCGTATCGCGAGTGGAAAAAGTAGGAGCACGGCGGAAAAATTGAATGTATAGTGAAAATAAGCCATGTTCCATTGTTGTTGTTGTTGTTGCTGTTGATGTTGTTATGAAATGCCGTAAGGCAGGAGGTTAAAACAACGATCGTTCCAGTTCGATGTGGCCCGATGGATGGATGGTTGGCGCTAAGTTAGTGCAAATATCGCGCGACTGAAAGAGTCTTTCTACACAGTTATTACATGGGAAATGCCTGCTAAATCAAGTCAATGAATTCCCCCAGGTGTAAGAAGCGCACGTGCGCAAGCTGAAGAGTGAAGAAGTTATGTACATTGGCACTGTTTTAGGGGTTGAAGTGAGTGACGTGCATACGCGGATGACGAACTCCAAATAGAGTCATCTTACGAAGAAAAAAAAAACGACAAAGTGTCGCCTAGCATTGCGGTCACCGTGAGTGCGAGAAGTGGGACCACCTACACCCACCACCCATCCCATCCATATACGAATACTCGTCCGAACCATCCGGAAAGTTAGTGCAAAACGGAGAATAAAATGAGCTGGCTTCGGTCCAGCCCGCTGCGGCAGAGTTTCAGCAAAGCCGGAGGCGGCAGCGGGGCCGGCTCCGGTCGCGGAGGAAGCGCCACTAACGGATCCGTCCGGGCGTTCGATGCGTCCGAATGCGATCCGAAGGCGTGCTACGATAGTTTCTGCATCCACTGGCAGCAGGCGTACGAGATCATCCAGCGATCGGAGGTGAGTTCGAGTTTAATCTGTTTTTATTAGATTGTTCCGACTGGAACGAGTCCTTCAACTGGTTCGGTTTACTTCCGGAAATTACTAGCCACTTTCTGTTCATTTAGACTTTTTGTTTTAGATGTTAACGGCAGTTGGAATGCTTCACAAAAAGTTAAGTGACACTTATTTCTAGCTTAAGCGATTGTATCAAAAAAGTGACGCAGATGTTTTAGTTCCCCTAAAGTCTAGTCAATTTCAATGATTTATTAACTACCTTAAAGTGACAAAAATAGGTCTCTCATACGTTCATTTCCCCTCTAACAGTATGTTAACCTTTCCTCGACACTGCCAGAAATGAATCGAACAAAGAATTATAAGCATCATAACGTCTGCCGGCGGTATCTAGTCGTCAAACTGAATGTAGCGGCTAAATAGCAGCCACACGAAGATAATCCATAACTCACATGGCCTGACCAGGTTAACTACATATATGCATGGAGAACGTACGGCACCTCTACACTCCGCGCATGCATCCATGCATTGCATTGACGATGGCGATTGTATTTGTGGTGTGAGTAATCGGCTTTCGGGTTTATATCAGATCGATCGGGCTGTGAGTGGACTGTGCCACGCCACCTCACGCTAATTCGCGTTTCGGTGTTTGGATGCTCTATGGTATATGTAATTATGACTGGATACTACCGAAAGCGGTCGAAACAGTTCGCGAGAAGGTGAAGGCTTTCACTGTGGGAGTGTAATTATATTTTACCTTCCCAGCGGTCTAGGATATGTGAGCGAGGAAAAGGTGATGGGTTTTACGATTCTAGTGCCCAAGGTTAAGCCGAAAGCAAGTTTGTTGTTTGATCGGTTTCTAATTTATAATTTAAGCCAAACTAGACATAGCAAGAAGTTCACCTTGGAGTTAATTTCAAAAATCCCCGGACGCAAGACCAGTAAAGCTCAAAGCACATTGATGCAAAAGTCTAAAATTAAGGTCTCCTAGGTTTATTCAGATGGGAATCCGAAAGATATTGTGATCAAAGCCTCAAAAATATTCTCACTCTCTTTATTCCGTTCTTCAAAAACTAAAGCCATTCCGACCTAACTTAAAATCGCGTTAAACCATATGTGCGTGAGGAATTTCTTTTTTTTCTGCACCGTAATATTCAAATGGGAGCATCACGCACAACCCTTGCAGGGTATCTACTAACGGAAAAACCAGGAATGTTCAGAGAATTTTATTTAACCTGGAAACATCTGGAACTTTCCTTACTTTTATATGAGGCTTACTTTAACCAAAGCTTGAAAAACATGTTTGTAATCTTGATGAATGTAGGCGTCTTAGTGCAATACCTGTATAAAGAAAGAGAGAAGGATTAGTAATTTCCATTGACTTCCACTACCTTATCTACTTATCCTTGGCAGATACCTGTATTTCGTCTACAATATGCAGACTTCTTCAGTGTCTTGTACTAATACTCGACTGAAGACACCATCGCAACTTACCACACATATATTAACCAAGGTACTTTTTCATTTAGAACTTACTTACGAATCAGGCTAAGGCCTTGTTGTCCTCTGCTGTCCGAAGAAGTCGTCTCCACTCTACTCGATCCATGGCCACACTTCGCCAGCTTCGTAGTCTGCGAAGGGTCCGCAGATCGCCTTCTACTTGATCGATCCACCTTGCCCGCTGCGCGCCTCTTCTTGTTCCTGTTGGGTCGCTTTCTAGAACCATTTTCACTGAGTCGTCGTGCGGCATTCTTACGACGTGCCCAGCCCACCGTAGTCGCCCAATTTTTGCAATGTGGACGATGGATGGTTCTCCCAGCAGCTGGTGCAATTCGTGGTTCATTCAGCTCCTCCACGTTCCGTCATCCATCTGCGCTCCACCGTAGATGGTACGCAACACCTTCCGTTCGAAAACACCAAGGGCGCGTTGGTCCTCTACGAGCATAGTCCAGATCTCGTGGCCGTAGAGGCCCACCAGCGTCTTGTAGACAGTCAACTTCGTGCAGCAGCGAATTTTATTCGACCGGAGCGTCCTCCGGAGTCCAAAGTAGGTACGATTCCCTGCCATAATGCGTCTATGAATTTCTCTGCTGGTATCATTTTCGGCGGTCACCAGTAAGCCCAAATACACGAACTCATTGACCACCACGATTTCGTCACGGACAATCTGAACTCGGGGTTGGAGGCTAACATTGTCTTCCGTAGAACCTCTTCCTTTCATGTATTTTGTCTTTGATGCATTGATGGCAAGTCCAATCCGCCTAGCTTCAGCCTTCAGTCTGATGAACGTTTCCGCCATCGTCTCAAAGCTCCGTGCCATGATGTCGATGTCATCGGCGAAGCCAAGAAGCTTGATGGACTTCCTGAAGATCGTGCCACTCGTGTCTATCCCCGCTCTTCTGATCACACCTTCTAACGCGATGTTGAATAGCAGACACGAAAGTCCATCACCTTGTCGTAACCCCTTTCGAGATTCAAAGGGACTCGAGAGTGTCCCCGATACTCGAACAACGCACATCACTCGATCCATCGTTGCCTTGACCAATCGGGTCAGTTTATCCGGAAATCCGTACTCGTGCATAATCTACCATAGCTGATCTCGATCGATTGTGTCATATGCGGATTTGAAATCGATGAACAAATGATGTGTGGGCACGTTGTATTCGCGGGCACCCATGAATCCCGCCTGGTATTTCCCCACGAACTCTCTTGCAAATGGTGACAGGCGGCGGCATAGGATTTGGGAGAGTACCTTGTAGTTGCTGCAATCCAACTTGTCGCCCTTTTTGTAGATTGGGCATACGACACCTTCCATCCACTCCTCCGGTAATATCTCCTCCTCCCAAATTTTGGCAATTACCCAGTGAAGCGCTCTAGCCAGTGCTTCACCACCGTATTTTAATAACTCACTTGGTAGTTGATCTACACCAGTTGCTTTGTTATTCTTCAGCCGACCGACCTCCTCCTCAACTTCTTGAAGATAAGGGGCCGGTAGCCAGTCGTCTTCTGCGTGACCTGCACGGTCTGTTGCCGTGCCATCTTCGTTTTCTGCTGCATCACCGTTGAGGTGCTCGTCATAGTACTGCTTCCACCTCTCAATCACCTCACACTCGTTCGTGAGAAGGTTACCGTCCAAGTCCTTGCACATTTCATTTAGAAGCTAAACTTAAATCTAATCTTATATAGAAGCAAGTACTCCCAGTGGAGAGTCAGTTTTTAGATATTCAATTCCAAAATCCTTTCCCTACTAACAAAAATAAACGTCTCCTCAATAGCTCTGCTTCGATTTTCTAGCTGCCCGGCATCATATTTTTCAACTGATGGACATTGCATTGGAACCCCGGTTGTTATCGCCAAGGTGTTCCGTTGTGTTTGGTTAGACATAGACATAATATATAGATTACATACATATCAATCTATTTTGAGACAGCTAACGATTATTCGCTTAAAAATTAAGAAAACGCAACTCCGTTATTGCCAGATCAGCTGTAATTACACAGAGAACCAAAAGACGTTGTTTGGAACTAGCAAACATCCTTACTTACTTATTTATCCTGGTCCGACATCCCTCAGGATTGCACCTGCATCACAATATTACGCCAATTCACTCGGTCCGTGGCTGCTTGTCTCCAATTTCTTGACCGTCCCACACTCCATAGATCCTGCTCCACTTGGTCTAACCACCTTGATCGCTGTGCTCCTCTTCGTCTTGTACCGGCCGGACTCGAGGCAAACACCATTTTTGCGGGATTCTTGTCCGGCATTCTTAAAACGTGTCTCGCCCATCGTACGCGTCCAGCTTTCGCTACTTTCTGGATACATGGTTCGCCATAGAGTTGCGTCAGCTCGTGGATCATCCTTCGCCTCCATACACCGTTCTCACATACCTCGCCAAAGATGGTCCTAAACACTCGTCGTTCGAAAACACCCAGTGCTTGCAGGTCCTCCTCGAGCATCGTCCACGTCTCGTGCCCGTAGAGAACTAGCGGTCTTATCAGCGTCTTGTACATGGTACATTTAGTACGGAGGTGAAGTTTACCCGACCTCAGGATCTTGTGGAGTCCGTAGTAAGGACGACTTCCGGCAATAATACTCCGACGAATTTCTCTGCTGCAGTTGTTATCCGACGTCACCAATGATCCGAGGTACACAAATTCATCCGTCGATTGTCACGCTTCTGCCTATGCGAGCCCTATCCCGCTCGGTTTCTCCAGCTAACAGATACTTTGTCTTCGACGTATTCATCTTTAATCCAACCATCTCTGCTTCACGTTTCAGTCTGGTGTATTGCTCCGCGACGGCCTGCAACGTTCTTCCGACAATGTCCGCGTCGTCAGCGAAGCAGATGAACTGGCTGGACTTATTGAAGATCGTGCCCCGCATGTTAAAGCCCACACGTTTCATTACACCTTCTAGCGCAATGTTGAACAGGAGGCAGGAAAGACCATCGCATTGTCGAACGCACCCGATATCTTCACGCAGCACTGTACATGTACACCATCCATCGTAGCCCTGATCAGTCTGGTCAGCTTCCCGGGAAAACCGTTCGCGTCCATAATCTTCCATAGCCCTTCACGGTCAATAGTATCATGAGCGGCCTTGAAATCGATGAATAGGCGGTGCGTAGGGATTTGATATTCACGACACTTTTGGAGGATCTGCCGCAACGTAAAGATTTGGTCCGTTGTCGATCGCCCGGCCACAAATCTGCTTGCTAGCGGCGATAAACGGCGAAAGATGATCGATAGTTCTCACATTTTAGTTTGTCGCCTTTTTTATATACTGGACATATTACTCCCTCTTTCCACTCCTCCGGTAGCTGTTCTGTATCCCAGATCCTGACTTTCAGTCGGTGCAGACAAGTGGCCAACTTATCCAGGCCCATTTTGATAAGTTCCGCTCCGATACCATCTTTCCCAGCTGCTTTGTTGTTCTTAAGCTGTCGGATAGCATCCTTAACTTCACCTATCGTGGGAGCTGGTATGTCCCCCTCATCCGCTGTACCG